TTTTTGAAAAAAATTAAGATAAGATCCAATGAAGCAGGCATAGCAGAATGTGTTCAAAAAGTTAGAAAGGCGGGTTTAAACAAATGCTTATTCTCAGAATGAAAAAATTAAAATAATTCATTTCAGCAGGTGAAAATTCTTCTGAAGTTCTATAAGAGAAAAGCAAACTTTCATGTTTCATCAGATAATTTCAAATGCCATTGTCTTGCCAAAATTTCAAATGAAGATAACAGACTTCATTGCTACTTTTGATAAATTTATCATGCTGAAGAAAATTTTCTGCTAACTGGCAAAAAACTTCTGCAGACCTGCACTGGTCCATGGGTTGGGGAACACTTGATTTAAATAAACCATCCCTCAAACTTGTGGTACAATAGATACATAGGGTACGGTATGATAGAACAAGGCATTCTTATTTCTTGAGCAACTACAGGCGACACCTGCCTGATGCGCTAAGAAACATAAGCAACGGGGACGTCAAGGTGAAAAGAACCCACCCGCGACTGCAGAAAAAAATATATAAAATAAAAAAAGAACGTCTAGAAGAACAAGAAAGAAATCCAGAGAAAATAAAAATGGTTCCCCACACAACCCCCGAAAGGAGAAAAAAAAAAGTTTTTAGAAACAAAACCAAGGACGATCATATGTAGGCATAGGTGTTGTCGCAACGCGAACCTCTTCCTCCACCATTTCCGTGACCATCGGAGACGAATTCTGGTTGCTGCAGACCACCAACAGCCTGCTTACCACCAACACCATCAGCACCAACCACATCCTCATCCTCAATGTCCAATCGGTGAGCGTCACCGTCGTTTCCTTGGTGACCGCCGCCTTGCGACGCTGATGGCGGCGTCGCCGCCGCCGTTACCTCTCGCTTACTCTTCCCGCTCGAACCTTTCTCCCCTTTTGAGAGGTTTCAACATACGACGGATGGTTCATAAGTTCTGAGACTCATCAAGAAAATTTTTCTCATATTCAATCCACAAAAGAAAATCACTTCAAATGTACTTTTTTAGAAAATGGAGAAAATTCAACTCGTCTCGTATGAAATTTCGTAGTAGCTCAAGTTCTGAGATCTCTCAAGAAATTTGACCATCATTTTCGTGTTACAGTGTCTAATCTTATACATGCCAAAAATGTCTCAATTTCAATCCATAAAACTGGAACACTTTTAAAATATGGAGAAAATCACCGTTGATTCAATTCGTCTCGAATTTTACGAACTTTTCGTCGTATCTGGAAACCTTTCCAAAATCTGAGACTATTCAAGAAATTTGACACAATTTTCGGGTAATTGTGCCTAATCCAATACATGCCAAGAAATTTTTCTCATATTCAATCAACAAATTTTGAAATTTCGACGCATGACCAAAAATTAAAATCGACTTCCTGCTTAGACCAGAAAAAAATATTTTCTCGAAAACTACGACTAAAACGCCTTTATTTTTAGAATGCGGAAAAATCTCTGTTCATTAAATTTAATCAGTCTCAAAGCGTATGAAACATCCTCGTCAACAACACCCTTCAATTTCACCTTCCCGCGGAAACGCATTAGACACAAAATTCCCCCGAGGCCTGAACCGGATGCACAATAATTTACATGAACAAAAACAACATCACCCGGGGAACATGCTATCCAACATCATGCTTCTTTTCTCATCCACCGGAATTTTCTACCACTAATTAAAATACGAGCAATTAGTAAGGAAGGGAAGCGACCGATTCTCCTCAGGCATCAACAAGAAACGCAACATATTTCTTTCATTTTTTTTATCGGTGTGTTATTGAAAATGGGGGGTTTGCAAACTTTTTTTTTCGGGACTCACCTTTGAAGCAGAGCCTGGAATTGCGCCAGGCATAAAAGGTCACACCGAGAGCCACGAAAACGACGACCAGAACCAAGGCGACAACAATGATGACGACTGAAGCAGTGCCTGAAGAAAAAATATGGAAATTGAGTTGAAACGCGTGTTACATAATTCTCAAAAATCAATTTTACATCAGCCGCCGGAAATATAATCGAAATTCTGAACTTCACGAGAATTAGACAGCGATAAGCACATTCAACTTATTTTTTTTTCAAAAAAGGAAAAACGGGTGCGTTTTCATGATATATCTCCAAAATTTTAATTTTTACGTTTCAAAATTGATGGAAAAAGGAAGTATCCGTCTCAAGCAATTCGTGAATAAAATTTGCAGTGATTCTACAATATTTTCTCGTCTAGCGTCATATTTTAGCCACAATTTGAGCCTGAAAGGTTGCAAAAGGAGAACTTTTGAGCTTCATTAGAATTTCTCGACTCGTGAAAAGATTGCAGCTACCCGGAAATTGCGGAACCGTGTCACAAAATCGCACTACCACAGTTGAAAAAATTGCGAATCATAATCATGACGCATCTAACTGACCCGCTGGAGGTTTCTCGCCAATCTGCACGTCGAAACGGAACCTTGCCGATTCTTCACCACTGCGTTGGTCCACCACCCCGTTGAAAATTCGCAGCTCGTATCTTCCAGCATCAGCTTCGCCCAAATCCGTCACCTAATCAAAAATTTATTCATCTATTCAAAATTCTTATCGCCAACATAAAATATATTACGAATCTTCCTCCTCTCGCATTTCCAAAAAAAAATTTCCCACTCTAGAATACAGTACAGTTGAAATTTTTTCCAGTGAAGTATGAATTTACTTCCTGAAATGTCAACCAGATGTCGCCTGAATATTACCTAATCAAAATAGCAGAATCAGAACAACTCGACCTAAACCAATTTTCAAACTAATTCACGATGCCAAAATCAATCCGAGCGTTGATGGAAGGTAACCAAATTCAAGCGACATCTATACCAAGTCAAGAACAGATATGAAATCTGAGGACGTCGAGTGTTTTTCATGCGGGGTTATTGGAAAAAAAAAAAAGTTCTTCACCTCTCTGCTTTTTACCTGGAGCTTAGCAGAGTACAAATCCTTGCGGTCAAACTGGTCAAGCAGAGCGGGGTCTTCAGACTTCAAATGGTATTGTTGCCAGTGCATGGCCTTGAATCCATCGCGCTCTTCTCCACTCGCCAGTGGGTTCTTGGCATTCTTGGACGTGACCCATTCCAGACGCCTGGGTTCCGGGTTCGCAGCAAAAACAACCTCGATAGTGGCGTCCTTGCCAGCGAGGTAATAGGCACGCTGGTCGCAATAATAGCCGTCCACGACGCTTTGCATCATGCCTGATCCGATGGGCACACACTGTTTCAGTGTTGCCTGGCCTGATAACGGAAAATATGCAAAATAAAAATTGATGGATTTATACTGATTTACGAATAAAAAAAATTTGATTATCCTTTACACTGACGCATGGTTCTAGAGCAGTGTTACCCAACCTTCCTGGGCCTGCAGACTCGTATATTTCCATTAAATTTTTTGCGTACCAGCAAATTTTCATAAAATTGTTGCAGACTCAGAAATTTTTGTTTGAAAGACTTCATGGCAGGAATTTAAAAACTTTCTGCATTTTTTGCATAAGTTCAAGTTAAGAACCAATGATGCAGCTGTAGTGGAATGTCTTGAAAAAATGGATAGGTTGGCTTGACCAAAGGGTTCTCAGAATGAAAAATCAAAATAATTTATTTTAGCAGCTGAAAATTTGCCTGAAGTGTTATTGGTAGAAAATTCAACTTGTTCCATGATTTCAACTTCCCTTGCTTTTCTGAAATTTCAGATCCACGATTGCTACTTTTGATAATTTTAATATGCAGAAGAAAATTTCACATGGAGCACGGGTTGGGGAGCATTGGTCTTAAAATCTAAAAGCACGTGGATGCAGCTTCGTCTTTAATCCGGTGTGTGATCCACGATTGCTACTTTTGATAATTTTAATATGCAGAAGAAAATTTCACATGGAGCACGGGTTGGGGAGCATTGGTCTTAAAATCTAAAAGCACGTGGATGCAGCTTCGTCTTTAATCCGGTGTGTCTTTATCTGACACACAGAATACGCATAAATAGGAGAAGAAAATAATTCGATAATTCGAACATTACATTGATGCATGATTTTGAAACGTATAGATGTCGCTTCTTTAATGTTTGTGTGTCCACGCGTCAGTCATTCAGATAAACAGCGCTTAGACAAGACGGTTTCCGAGTTGCTCCCTCGACATTATGCAAATACTGTAGATCAAATATTTATTGCAAGAATTTGATAACGTTGAAATGTCAACGTCGGCCGTTTCGCTCGCTTTGTTTGCGCAAGAACTCGGATGAAGGAATGAAAGAGCTCCACTGGCTGAACAATCTTAGCGCCATGAATCAGCGACCATATTCACAGCATTTCTCCCCGGCACCTGGTAAACACGGTTATCAACAACATATTTTTTTTTAAACATCCTACAAGAAACTCCGGTGGTCTAATGGAACAGTTCCTACCGTCTTTTATCACATCCTGCCGATTTGACGCGGCAAAAAACCAGCGTAAAAAATAAAATGGACAAAAAGAAATATTTACAAAAAATAAGGAATTTTACGATTCAAAGAGGAAGTCTTCTCTCAAGACCGATGGTGACGAATTTGTGTTTCTCTTGAACGTGTACAAGCTACAGTATACTCATTTGAGCAACAACAAAAACAAAAAAAGCACCTTGGATGTTCAGAGCCAAATCTGTGGCATTGTGAGCCTCGTCCAACATGGTGTGATTTGCAACACAGCGGATTTTCATCCCGTTTTCGTCAGCCCTCATCTTCAGCGTAATGGTCGAATTGTAGCTACTCAAATCGTCAGTTCCGGGCTCTGCAACTTCTCCTTCCACAGGGCTGATGTCAGTCATTGGCGTCATTGAACCTCCATTCGGCGACACTAGAGAGAAATAAAAAAATCGGTATCCGTTTTAATTTCAAATAAATAAATTAATCAATGCAATAAAATCCCCGTGGAAATTAACTCACCCCAATACCAATGGAACTGAGGCTTGGGCCTGGTCTTGAACAAATTACAGGACAAAGTCACGGCTTCCTCAGCATCCACACTAGCATCAGGACTGTCGACTCCATTGTGCAGAATCACGGGACGTCGGGGCTCGGGAACAGCTGCGAAATCAACCGAAATTTCGTCATTTGATTTTATTTTCAAGGCCGTAACATAACATAACAGAGTAATGTTTCAAGAAAAGAAAAACGAAAGCTTTAAAAAAAATCCCATGAAGCGATAGTATTCAACATTACAATATTCATTTCATGGTGAATTAATAATCTAACGAGAAACGGAACAATTCGGTTCTTGCTTGTTGAAATCAGCCATTAAATGTGTCATTTCTCTTCAAATTAACATTCAATTCGTGAGTATTGACAGATAATTAGAGTCCGTCTAGATACTTTTTGGCGATTCCGATGAAGTCTTAATAATTGAATGTACTGTACAGTGAGGCCCCGACATACGGATGATTGGACTTGGGCATACTCAGAACTTCAAAAAAATTTGCACTGTATCTACCGTATATATAAATGTATAAATATATCGCTGCAGTGACATCCAGGCGATCTCTCGACACTTGAAAATTTCGATTTTCAAAACTTTCGTCTCTTGAACAAATTCAGCTTTTTATATTCACAGAAGTTAAAATTTTATTGTAATTTCAGTTTAATTCATGATCCAAAATGGACTAATTAAAAAAATTCAGAATCATTTCCATAATCTGTGCACAGTATAGGAAGACGTTGTGCTTGTTCTCTGCTGTTTGAACTCCTTTTCATGCCAAAAGGTCAGATCATTTGTGATACTCTTCGTCACAGTTATTTTCTGTACCTCACAGTTCATAAAATACATTTTATTCCATTTTTTGGGGGACTTCTTCCAAATTTTTGATCAAGAGTAGAACCAATTAAATGCACTCCCATTGACGTCTAAGGGAAAACGTAATTCGACAGGCTGACGTTCCAACACAGGGACAAGATCAAAGCATCAATTACATCGCTGGGATTTTTTTTTTTGCAATGCAAAGTTTTCAGAATAATAGTAAAAATCACGCTCAATCGAGAGCGATTAACATTCGACGAAGATTGACAAAGTGATTGAAGCAGGCCCCGAGGCATCCGAGATTGCTTCGATAATTAATTACGGATGCAGACACGCAGTAATTATTGATTGGAAATTGATAAATGCTGAAGAATTATATTCATTCGTACAACAACAACAAAAAAAGATTTCGGCTTCAAAATTAACTCCGTTTTCTTTTTATAATCGTAATCATAATCATCATAATTTTTTACCTGCGACGACGAAATTAAAGGGTCTGAGCCCCACTTCCTGAATCGGGCCTCGCTCAAAATTCGGCTGGCACTGCCATTTGCCATGATGCTCGGGCTTCACCGATTTGAGAGTGAAGTCGCATCTTCGCTTGGCGTCCACAGAGTCCGGCGTGTACTCAATCAGGTCGTACTCGTCACCCGTGTACGCACCCGGGATCACCAGACCCCCGCCGGGTTTCTGCCACATGCAGTAAGACTTGAGGATGTCCTGGTCCACGAC